CGTGTATCTCAGATTTAACATTGTTAAACGATCCCTTTAAGACTAAAACCCCATCCATTCATCAAGTCCTTTTGAAAACCGGAAACAGGCAACAATGGGGTCATGTAATGACACCTGATGATCCATTTTTCTGTTTTCTTCGAAGACAGAGTGGTTCTTGACCGAAGACAATGACCAAGCCAGCAAAGAACTGTCTGCTCCTAACAAAGGGGCTTTCATTGCTTCATTAAACACATACAAGGGATACATGTTATGCTTGAGGAGAAATATAGAGAGTAAAGGTCGAGACTTAGCCCAGGTCCATGCTTAGCCTATTATGTTCTTGATGTAGTCCCACATGTATAAATTTGGGGATGTGGGTTGTGATTGGAATAATTCCTCCAATTTCTCCAGGGGAAAAAAAGCAATTGGGATGGGGGGGGGGGGGGGGGGGATCAAACGTGATTCATTCATAAGCTATGTTGTGATAAAGCTTTGAATTCCTTTTGTTTTTGTAGTGAGTCAAAGGAGTGGCAGGAAGCAAAATGTGGGGACGATCGAAGGAAACAACATGAATGATAAAGAATATTATGCATGAGTTACCAAGTCATATGTATGATCCTAAAAAGTACAGGTCATTTACAGTGTAGGTACGCCTTTCTCCTCATTATTCATTATTAATAAAAATTTATCCTTTGCTAGTATTTGTTATGTAAGGCAGCTTATTCCTGACTCTGTCTGTTGAGTATATCACCAGTCTCATGCAACACATTTTCATCATTATTATAATACACAAAAAACATGCAAATATATGTGGGATATGGATGGAAAATGACCAGTACAGAGATGTACGCAACTTAAACATTACTTTGATAAGGTATTCCCTTGCATCTATCTTCCAAGATCTAACATATTCCACTTTAGATCTTGACGTTTTGCAAACTTTGAGTTTAAAACTATGACCGTTCCGTGTGAACATATCCTGCCTATGTGAAAGTAGGCAAGAGCTACATTTACACTGCAACCAAAAATCATCAATTTTTCTCACATTCTGGTAGTTGCATACAGCAACTTTTTTATGGGTTTTGGCAGTAGTGTATAAATGGTTGTCTCCAACATCGATAATTTTTCAAAACAGTGTTTGGGGTGTGTAAACGGGCCTAAGATGACACCTGGCTGAAAAGGCAACTCTCTCTTTGTTCAACTTCAATAACAATTTTGAGAGTGATGAGCCTCCACTATAATCTCTAGCGGGTCAGCGTTCCTCCCATTTTAATCCCGCAAACCCCTATCCCTTTTCATAAGTCAGTCTTAATCCGTATTGGCTCTGGAATTAAAGCCTGAGCTGTGAAAGATGGGGTTTCTTCTCCCTTTGATAAGGAAATAATGGATCCCTGGCCTTTGCCAATGGATAAAAAGGGGATTTCAATCGGCTAGTTAAGGTGGGCCAAAAGGGGGTTGTCTTTTCCCTTCAACTATAATCCATTGGGACTATCACACAGTGATGACAGGAATAACATCACATGATCGAGCTCATTCTCATTCTTTATTCTAGTCAAACATTTATCATGATAAGGGGCCAGCGTTAATGTTCCTATAGAAGCTTAGACAAGAAGTAATTGGTAGGCAAAGGCAATTAAGGCAACAAAAGTGATTGACATTGAAACATGATGAAAATCATCCAACAAGGATGGAAAACGCCATTGAAACCAAACAACAACAAACAGTATCTTGTCTGTTCAGGGAGACAGTAGATGTCCACTGTCTGCGTCTCATGAATAGATAACACACATTTATAATGGAAAGTAACCGACTTACATCACAGGCAAAGTCTGGTACATGTTGGCTACTGAATTATGTTGTTCCCATACATGATTCCGTACAGGAACCATCCATTAGTAATGCATTACAATTCAGGCAATTTACCAGAACTTACCTTTTTAGCTTGAATTTTAAATCCTTCTCCACCTCCCCCAACCTCTAGGCTTCCATGTACATCGTTTGTACTTTCAAAAATTTACATAAAAACTTGTAATGTCATTCCTAACAGTTTTTACATTGATCAAACCCTGGAGACATCTGAAGACATTTTATCCCAAATGGGAAGGCCGGCAATCTAAATCTTTAGGATTTTAATCCCTGATTAGTCCCATCGTCACAGCAATCAAGACAGCTCATGATAAGCGAGCCGGATCAAGAAGAATCGGTGATCACTGTAGTAATCACATTAAAAAAATATCAATGCCTAAACTTTACGAATAAGCACCAGTGTATGGAGTCTTTATAATGCAGAAAACATTCAAGGAAAGTACACTGAACTCCCAGCTATAATAAACAGAAACCCTATCAATGCACCAATATGTTTAAAAAACAAACGGGAGAAATGCACATGTTATACCACGGTATTCATGACCTTTGAATGCGCCCAACCTGATGTAATCACGGATAAGGCTAAAAGCAATCAAGTCAAACCATCACTCGATTCAACGCACCCATCAAAATGAGTTTAAGAATCAACACAAATGATCACAATGAGGATTCAAATGAAATATTCCTGGCACAGCAAGGCTATGTCGGGTCATATCCCAAACTTGAATAAATAATTAGTTGTTTTTCCCTACACATAATGAAATTTAATTTCCTATTTACAGAATATGACAAGATTGGAGTAGCACTGATACTTATTACAATTATATGAAGCATTAGATTAAGCACAGATCGCATCACATAGGCAAACGTCCTGGTAAATTACCTTCTGTCTCTGTAAAAGACAGCGTTAAACAAATGATGTAAACATCAACACCGATTGATCTTTCTCATCTTATTCTTTAATTTAATTTTTTTTAATTCAGGAATACAAGGGTTTGTCAATTCAAATTAAACTACCGGTAAATAAGATTGCAAGCACAAATCATTGTCCGATGCCATGATGTAAATGAAAACTGTTTGTTTGATTGTGATGAAAACAAAAGTGACTACTTTTTACAATTCATTTTGCCATACTTGTATCTCTTAAAATTTGGATACCGTCTCATCTCTACATTGAGCTTATCTATGCTTCACTCTAGACAGATATTTTCAAGTACGTGTTGTAGACCAGCATCTAGGGCACAACCACTTAAACTTGAAGTCACCTGATACTTTCACTGCTTGGACTCTTGCTGTGCTGTTACCCCAACCAGGGAAATTTCCCCAGACTCCATTCCACCTTCCGAGTGTTTCTCGTCATACTCAATGATGGGTCTATACCCTCGCCACCCGTGAGATTGAAAAGCGTGTCCGGATAATTACTCTCTTGTCGCCAACAAATATTCCAAACTTTCGGCTAGACCCATTTTTGCCCCCCTTGGCAAAGACGAGCATGAAACCGAATGAATAATTTGCATAGTCTACATTTTTAGAGGGTCATGATCGTCCCCCCCCCCCCCCCCCACATGAAGAGTGAACTGGTGGCAGGGAGGTTATAGGCCTTTATCATCAGTGAACGTCCTTCTGCAGGGCTCGATACTAGCAGGCATCCAGCATTCATGGGCCCCCAAATTTGAACTCCCTGAATATCACAAATGAAACAGGGGCCCTATGCATGCATGGAAACCCTAAAACGTGTGATCAATACCCCCTATGAAAAAAAGTTAGTGTGGCCTTGCCTATTGACTCTGAACAGACGATGATTTAAAGTACTACCTTGTAAACTATTACTTTATGTCTGATCAGGACATACATGTCCATGTAAGTGGAGGGGGGAGATTTTATTGTAAGTGAAAGGGGGGGGGGGGTATACAGAAATAAAAGAGAAACAGTCCCGAACTACAGGACAAGAAAGACATCCTAAAAAAAGGTACAATAAGGATAATAAGATTGATAGATAAACCAGGACAAACTGAAGACAAATTATATTGTAGACGATAGATCTACGTGTCTGATCCTCATAGGCCTACATATAGGGATGTACCGGTACTATTCAGTTTATTCTAAAAAGTACACTTCCCACCCACTCAAATTTCCATGACTCCAAGTTTAACCTTGATACAACCGAACACAGGTGGACCATGCACGATTAGCCTTGTCACAAAGTCACACATGTTTTGTATTACATATATACATGCAGGATAGATCTATATCAAGCTGTTCTACCTAGACCATACAGGTGTATGCAGCGAGAACAATTCAATAATGCACATCATGCCGTGTGGTTAAATACCAGCCAAAGTTACAAGAGAGATCAATTTAGCTACGTGCATTGTCCGGTTCTCGACATGTCCTTGAGATCAAGTACACCCATTCAAGTACATGTTAGTCACGTATCACAGGCTAAAATTAAAGCAAGGAGATTGCATTTATAATTAATACTATGTGGATGCACTATTTACCCTTGAATATATGCATGCATTCTGTAATATGTGGTGCACAATGTACATATAGCGCTCAGATCTTTAAAAACAAAGAAGAGAGAGCCACAGAGGTGAATGAATCGACAGTCATGTTAACCCACGTGTGTAGACATTGATTTATTGATATTGTTTGTTGGTTTTCCCTTGTGTTGATTGATGCAAACATATAATTGAAACATTCTTGCCCGGTTAGACTACATTTCCAATCCGGATCAAGCGTTTCTTCTACGAAATATTGATTTTAGATCATGTGCTGCTTTTTGTAATTGTCATGTTGTTAATTAAATTTGACCACACGACTTCCTGTCATAAAATTAATAAACTTTCGTTAACAAAGAGAATTTGTCAAAGGTTCACTTACATTTAAATGAAACATACATGAATATTCATGAATACAAAACAAATGGTACAAATATGTCCTGATTTGTACAGGTAGAAAATGAATAATTTAGTTGTGTATTGTGCAAAAATGAATATTGTCAGTACAAATATATCCAACGCATTCCATGATAAACAGTTCAGAAATACTAACAAATTGAACAATCAAGTTCTTCTCAAAAGACATTTATTTCATTATGAATCAAAGATGGCACACTTACACAATGATTAACAAATTAAATTTGATCTTACCAGCAATGTAGCGCATGCGAAGTCGTTTCAGAAAACGAACATTTTTATAGGATGCCATCTTCCAGACAGGCAAACACTTGCATGGCAGGAGTAAGTCCGTTTCTATCTTCTCACGACAGGACAGGAACATTGCATCTTAAACCAATTCAAAAGATTTCCTCAACTAAAATCTTTGTTGGACTCCAAACATGGATCCAATTTTCCACAATGATTTATAAATTTCCTCCAACATGAATTTCATAGACACATTTGCATGCAGGAAAACGAGTCATAAGCAGTGCCCACCAAAACCAATGTCCACAAATCCAAAATCCTGGATCGGTTTGGCTGAACTATAATCTTTGAGGTTCTATCGTTGATCCCTAGGCTGCGAATAATGAAGGACTTCGGTCTTGTGACGACGGGGTATTCTCACGCCGCTCGATGATAAATACAACTGAAAAGAGACACTCCCACTTGCTATTGCTAACTGGGTGGAACTTGAGCTTGGTCGTTCTGGTTTCAGAACCAAAGGCAGAGTGCCTGAGAATTTTTACTTTGGGGGAAACTTAAACCATGTGTGCGAGGAGCTACAATGGAGAGGAAATTCCACCGTAGTGTACGTGAGCTACATCCCTATGGTCACAGTTGGCATAAATGTGGTGGGTATCTTTCCAACATATCCTTGGTGGTGTTTGCTCTCTTGGTGTTATCTTTCCATATGTCCACATAGCAGACTGTGAATCACCGTCAGGTTTGCCTTGTAGTGTCTCTATTACTTGAAGGCCTCGGATAGATACAATGTCATTACAAAACTCATAGGCATTGTTATGGTATTACTCCTCAGATCTAAGTTCTCAGCAGCTCAGTTGTCCTAGAAATAGCCAAAATGGCACAAATTCCATGAGAGTCTGTCTGGTACTAGACAGAGCTTTACTTTATGATGCCATAGTCTGCATTTTGACTGTTTCCAATGGGTCCCCTCAACAATCCTTCATACTCGGGCAGTAGACTGGAACAGCAAATAACGATGATGAAGAAAGAAGTAACGTACCACAAGCTTGATGACAGGACACACCCCCTCCTGTCTTACTTAGGTAAAGTTCCTGGTGTTCCTCGCCAAGCCAACTATCCCACAAGAGGCGTATAAAACTTTCAGTAGCTGCTGGAATGTTGTCCACTGTGTATGCTTATCAATACACAGAAGGACTCAGCCCAAACTGTTTGGGTACTCACTATACCGGTGAAAGGTATGAAGGAGTATCGGAGCCGGTATAAAGGAGAACAAAAAGAGCTCTTTGCACTATAATGCGGTCTGCTTTGACATGGACGTTCCACAATAGCTGGGGCCAGTGGGATAAAAAAGAAGGGGATAAAGATTTCCCTTCCACTCAAAAGGCAAGGTGTTTTTTCTCCAGCTATTCTCTTCTCTCCGCTTTAAGTGTCTCTCTCTCCTGCTCTCTCCCCCTTCTCACCCACTTGTCATGGAGGAAGTTGGTTTTGGCAGCTAGCAGTGCCCGCTCACCCGCCCATGCCGGGAACTATGAATTGGTTGTGGGTTCACGCTCCAAGGAGCATGAGTGAATGAAGTGCCATTCCACCTGTCTCCACTGCTTTGGAAGTATTTTCACGCGAAGATGGGGACCAACAATGGGAACTGGCCCAACAATAGAGCTTAACATGACGAGGAGATAAGCTTTTTCCCATCATCCCTTACTTCTTTTTCTTTCCTTCCTCTTTCTCCTCTATCTCTGTCTCCACCTATCCCCCACTCCTTTGAATATGAGAATTATGCTCAAAAGACCGTCTCATAACTAAACTTTGTTAAAATCCTTTATTTATTCATTTGGAGTATGTAAATGGCACATAAAGACAGATTCTTTCTCCAAAATTTAAAACTAACTCATTTGTAAATTGAGGAAGAAGTTTGATACTATATGATGAAAGGGAAACCTTTAAAAATAACTTTTCTTCTTCAAAATATCTCTTTTAATCTCCATTCACCCATTGGCTGGCTCTTGTAGGCTCCATATTTTGTATGCAATTATATGCATAAGCTTCGAGAGCAATTATCCTGTATTCAAGACTCCATATAACCTGGCCACAACTTCATGTTTCCATGGAAACCAGTGAATCACACAAATCTGTGGTTTCAGCCACAGATTTAAAAATGACCAGAGCTATCAAGGCTAGACGGTATCATTGAATTCCAATCCCACAATTGCATTTAAAAATTCTTTTAACTTTTCTGTAGCTTCATTTAATGGGAAGAAAATAAAGGAGAAAAATAGGAAAAAAGGGGCCAGTGGCAATTTGCCCCCCCCCCCCCAATCTAAGGCAGCTTCTTGCCTATCGTACACGGATATAAAATGAAAACCTGAATTCATCACCAGGTTATATGGAATCTTTCATCCAGGGTAATTGTTCTCAAAGTTTCTGAACATGACTGTTTTCACAAAAGAACCTGAATAACTGCATGACTAGAAATGAATAAAAAATATTTCACAGTATTCAAATGACATTGTATGTCATTTATAGAACTTAAATGCACTCTACAGACTAATAAAATAACAAAATTGCCAAAATATATTAAAAGAAATCATGGTGTAACACAGATGCCATGTAAACTAGATGGAATTCGACTGCGCGCAGTCGAAAATGATGCCTCCGTCATAGAGCAATTTTACAAACCAAAACAGAAGAAATTTTTCAAATTCAAGTTCAATTGTAATCCATTAACAGGTTCTCAGAATATCGTGATTACAAACAATTTCTCATATACATATATGACCCTTTGAACTTTGACCTCATGATCCTAATATCTACTCAGCTCATTGGCTCTGCAAGATATCCAGAGTTAAATAGTAATCCATCTGTCAGTTCTAATGAGAATGCGTTCACAAGCTATTTTTGCATACATAATGAGCCCATGACCTTGGACCTTATGAACCAAGAATCTACACAGTTCATTGGCTCTGCAAGATACATAAATGATCTAAGTTTGGCAGGAATCCATCAATCTGTTCTAATGATAACGCGATCACAAGCTGTTTTTGCATACATAATGGGCGCTGTGACCTTTGACCTTTGACCTCGTTACCCAAAATCTAATAAGTTCATCGGCTCTGCAAGTAACATACATGACCTAAGTTTGGCAGGAATCCATCAATCGGTTCTTGAGATAACGCGATCACAAGCTGTTTTTGCATACATAATGAGCCCTGTGACCTTTGACCTTTGACCTCGTGACCCCAAAATCTAATCAGTTCATTGGCTCTGCAAGATACATACATGACCAAAGTTTGGCAGGAATCCATCTATCGGTTCTTCAGATAACGCGATCACGAGCCGTTTTGCATACATAATGAGCCCTGTGACCTTTGACCTTTGACCTCGTGACCCCAAAATCTAATCAGTTCATCGACTCTACAAGATACATACATGACCAAAGTTTGGCAGGAATCCATCAATCGGTTCTTCAGATAACGCGATCACGAGCTGTTTTTGCATACATAATGAGCCCTGTGACCTTTGACCTTTGACCTCGTGACCCCAAAATCTAATCAGTTCATCGACTTTGCTAGATACATATATGACCAAAGTTTGGTAGGAATCCATTGATCCATTCTTCAGATAACGTGATCACGAGAACGGGACGTACGTACAGACGTACGTACAGACGTACGGACGGACGGACGGACGGACGGACGGACGGACAACCCGAAAACATAATGCCTCCGGCTACTTCGTAACGGAGGCATAAAAAGTGAAACATGGACAACTTTTACCATTTACCACTCAGTGCCCACTGGATCCCCCACGGCCCTCATAACATACCAACTTAGAAAAATTCTTTCAAACTTATTGAACAGGCACTTTATAAACGAACAAGTGATTATTTGTTCCTTTGTTTGTTGTTTCTTTTCTTTTTATTGATCACATTCCGTTCCCACTCAATGTAGAAAAGAATGCTGGGTCAATTAGACACCAAAGTATTGATTTTTTTATCGTTCCAGGGGGGTGTTTCACAAAGATCCTAAGTTGAACTTATCTCAAAGTTGGACTAAAAAGGTATGGAAAGCCATTAGCATCTTTGAAAATATTTTGTAAAAGTTATTTTGAAAGGCATAAAATGTTGATTCAAATCATTCATATTTTCTATCATCAAGGAGATTTCATGTCATGGATGTGGCATTTATAAAAAGTCTAAAATACTTGAATTTCTGCTTTTGAATATATTTCATTTTAAGGCTCCAATGGCTGTCCATAATTTTTAAGTCCAACTTAGTGTTAAGTTCTACTTATGATCTTTGTGAAACACCCCCAGGATGGATTTGGAAGTGGGTCATCACTGATACCAATACCAATAAGGGGCCTACAGTACAAAACAGATTCTACAAGTATTCCTGAGTCAAAAGTAAGAATTTAGAAGGGTATATGGGGACAATGGTAATGTTCCCTGCTGTTCAGATAATAGAAATACATTAGCTTTAAAGTACACTTGTCTTGTTTTGGTTCAAGATGGAACAAATGACCTAATGGGTTTACAACTCCTAAAGTGAATGAATGAATGGAGAAGGGTGCTAAGATGGTTTTACTTTCCTGAAGTATCTGCCTACTTAGGAGACATTTTTGTTAAAAGTTTGATAGAAACACTCCCTGCTGTGTTGATAAACAAAATAAATTAGGGTACAAGAGGTGTGACAAATGAATTAATGGGTTTAAAAATTCCAAAATTGATTGAATGAATGAATGAATGAATGGGGAGGGGTTGAAGTGATGTTTTTTTCTTTCCCTGAACTATCTTCAACCTCCGAGGAAAAACTCCCTCCTGTGCTGGCAAAAGAAGTGCACTATTATTGTATACTTAGGTTGTTCTGGCACAAGAAACGACAAATAAATTAATGGGTTTTACCAACAAATTCGAGAACAGCGAGAGGGATCAATGATGACTGCACTTTCCTCGAAGTAACTTCTCACCCATGAGACAATTTTGGAAAGTTAACGAAACGGGTCTGCCCTTAATCTCCCTTTGCCTCCTAATAGCGATAGACAATGGGGAGGGCTTTGTCAACAGACAAGCTGACCCCAGCAAATTTTTCCCTTTTGATTCAGAACAATTGGAAGATTTGTTTTAATCCTGTAATCTTTCATGCGTAATTGATTTTCGAAGCTCCCACTTTTTGGGCGAGTGCCAAAGGCAGACCCTAAGGAAGTTTAAGTCATGTACTACATATTAGAATGCGTCAAATTCTAAAAGATTTTTACAATATTCAAATGAGTGTTCATGCTGCTATTCTGAAATTTAAAAAACTCATCCTTTTTTCAAATTCTGTACACAAATTTTACTTTCAAAACTTCCAGATGCATACAACACTTTTTCTAAGTAATATTTTCTTTCACATTCAATCCTTTTCTAATTTTACAATACATTGTCAAACAAAAAACATTCTGAAGAAAAACAAGCTAAAATATCATTTTAAAAGTTCAGAATTAAAATTTATCCAAAAGCAGACGCGCCTGCAAACATGTAACAAAAGAAAGGGCAATCAGAGGTTTTTTCTTTACTGACGTAGTAAGCAGGACAGGGCCGTTTGTTGACTAATTAGAGAAAAGAAATCTATTTCTGGAACACTTCAGTCACAAACACACTACTAATTACATATTCACAATCTCCTTCAGAAAAAACACAGGGGAGGGATGCAGCTTTCTAAATATAGGATCAGGACTGGACTAGACAATGCTAAACGGAGATGCGAGAAAGACATAAATAGAGGTTGGTTGTTAATTAAACCAAAATGGTGTTGGGGGATTCACGCAAGAGGTGATTCGGAAAGGTTGTCCGGACAGTGCGAGGGCGATTCACATTTTAAAAGCGATTCCACTTCTATGCAGTCATATTATACTAATTAAGCCAGTCCGACTATAGTCTACTACTGGGTTGGTTGTCAAGATCTTTGTAATAGAGTAAGGGAGGGGATGGGGTCTTACTCTTTTGATTTATCTCCTTAGATGCCGTTTTAAAATCATGTTTTAATATTCCCCAGTCCCTAAAGATAACCAGAGGCGTGATTTTATAGATTTTCGAAACAAGCATATTTGTTAGCATTTTTGCTCTAGAATTCTGGCGTACCCTACCCCGAGTACACATACTTTGAAGACTTGGGTAATTAACTTGGGTAAATGGCACCACTGTGAAATATATGAAAAGTAAAGCTGTATATGAATCCAGGATTATTAAATTGATTTTATTTAACTAAGCATAGAAAATTTTCTATGCTGCAAACGATTCACTCAGTTTGCCATCACCTGTGTAAAGAGAGGAACTGCCGCTCATATGCCTCATACTATGTTTTAGGCACATGATGGCATACTTTAAAAACATTGTGTTATCTTTCATTTCTTACAGTGTTCCCATATCTGGTATCCCCTGTAGGTATTCATAGGCCTGTCCTCATCAGCTCGAGATTGCTAAATATCCCGCTTTTTTAACTATTAGCGGGATATTTGGTAGAGA